ATTAATATATAAGGAGACAACTTGATGGATACTCAACTCCTTCTTCATTATATTCCAGATTGGAGTTAATTGCCCTAATCCAGAGCAAAGCTGACCTAAATCAAGTAACTCTGGTCTCCCCTACATATAAGGATACTCAGGCAGCTTTTATATCACCGCTTGCCAGTGTTGGGGCTGTGGTTAGGGACTAGAGGTCTGGCCTGTGGTTCCCTAGATCTAGGAATCCCTATTTGCCATAATGGCCCCATTGGCAGCTGACACAGATTGAGGCAGTATTCAGCAGCTCCAGGATCAGGGGAGTATAAAGAAGGTCTTTGCTCTCCATATTCCTTAACTGTGCTCAGCATACCTCAACTGCAGCTGAGGATCTGGCCCAATGAGCTCATTACTAGGTGAAGGGTAATTCCCTTTCTATTATAATGGAAGAAAACCATTTATTTTATGGATCAGAATTTACAGTTTTAAAAGATAAGAGAGTCAGGGCTGACATAGGCCCCAGTCCCACAATCAATCTGCATGGGTAGAACACTGTGGTAATGTGGAGCCCTCCTGAAAACAGTGAGACTCCATGTGGACATAAGAACTCACTGTGTGCATCTGATTGGAAGATCGGGACTATAAAGTGTGCTTAAAACCCAATGATCGCCAAAGAGCCTTTTTATGCAAAAACAGGAAAGAGAAGGGGACTAATTTTCAAACATGGATGTAAAAATTATACCTGCAAAATTCCTTCTCTGCATCCCAACTGGATAACTGCACACATAAGTACCTACTTATTTATATGTACAGTAAGTGCAGATGTATTTTTATGGATATCCCAATGGTTTTGAAAAGGAGGCTGTAAAGTTGCAATTTAAAATAATAAATTGCTGGGTATGCCTCAGTAATGCAGAAGCTGGAAATATGTCTTTCTGAATTACACGCAAAGGTCCTGAGCCTACAAACACTTATATATGTGAATAATTTTAAACACTTGAGTAGTCCCATTGAGCTCAATATGATTACTCACATGGATAAAATTAAGCACATGCTTAAGTGTTTACAGGATCAGGGCCCAAGACAGTAGGAGAAACAGTCTGAAAAAATAAGATACAGTGATCTCAATGGTAATTAAAATAGTATCAAAATAAAGCTATTTTTTGCTGCATGAAGAGTAGATAGTTCCTGCATGCTAAAAGTAGAAACTATATTATATTCATCATATAACAATTAAGGACCAGATTGCCTTCAGTAACGCCTCTGCAACTCCATTCAAATTAATGGACTTCACAGGGAAAGCTTGAGATACAATTTAGCCCCAAAACATTCAAAATTCTATTTTTCATTATTTGTAGCTTGGTTTGGGAAGTACATTAACTATAGATATTTTCACCATTTTAGGGAAAATACCACTGGTTAAAATGAATCATACACAGACTTTTTATTTTAGAGAGAATGTATGTGCTTACCTACAAGAGTATTCCAAACTGGAAGATCTGGATTATCTAGCTGTATTAGATGTTTGAGAATTTCTGTGTGAAAGTACAGCACTGCTAAATGAATTATATTGTTTCCTTCACTGTCAGTTTTCTTCCAGTTGGCACCAAGAGAAAACAAATATTGAAGAGTGTCTAATGCTCCAGATGTGGCTGCAAGCAATAGTGGAGTAGAATGATATCTATGGAACACAAACATATTGTGTTATAAATTAACATGTAATAAAATATGAAGTATGCAAACAAGTTTATTTCATATAGTTATTTCAGCTGATTATAAACTATTATTTTTCAAAAATGGAATCCACGAGGATGTGAATGCATAAACTTTCTGTTCAGATTAATTTGTCTTGGATTTACAGTTTCTGCTTGTTTGATTTTTAATTGTTCATTTGATTTCTGACTTAGCTGAGGCTCCCTGGTGGTCATACCAAATTCTACTCAGTCAGTGGTAGTTTTTACACTGATTGCCACTGAGATTGCATTAGGTCCTTCTTTTCCTATTTCTCAATGGTAGATATCTGTGCAGTATCATGACTGAATGATGCTGAGAGTGCATCTTCAAGATTTCAGCAGGTCTCCTCTTTTTCTTCCCCACAAAACAGTGATTTTATGCTATAGCGTAAATATGTCTCAGGACTTTGAGGGCTCAATTCTGACCTCATACAGAAATGTAACTTCTGTTGACCTGAGTGGGTGCTGCACAATCCTACTGGACGGCAAAATTAGGTCCTGAATTTCTATTGCTTATAACATTCCTTCACCCACCCAGAGCATAGGAGCACCATGAGCAATAGAAATTCACAATCATGAGTATGATAACACTGAAGTTGTACAGCCTAGAGACAATGCATATAACTCCCATTAAAGCCAAAGGAGTTGCTCCCATATAATTAAGGACATATAGATGAGCATATAAATACTGTTATTTTACTCCTCATTCTAGAAAGGCTAATTCATTTTCCAATACGGGGCTGTATTTGTATGGCAAGACAGAAATTTTAGGAGAGGGGGCATATTTGTGGTCTTTCAAGCACACTGTATTATATAAATGATAAAGCACCAATCATCACAGTGATAAAAACTCTAGTGACTTACTCAGCTGTTGTTTCAGCCTCTAGTAGATCTGGGTCTTTTCTATAGAGAACCGTGATACAGGAAATGTTGTCATAGAATGCAGCAAAATGTATAGCCATCCATCCTCGATCATCCGTTAATTTATAATCTGCCTTAAGGGCCAGAAGACAAGTAAGTGCTTCAATGGATCCACACTGAGCTGCCAGGTGTAAAGCAGTAGGGCCTAAAGCTAATGGATACATAAAAAAAGCTGATACAATGTGCATAATTTTCAAAGTGATGCACCTAAATTGTGCCTGCAAAACATGATGTAAAATCTCCACGTAACTATTTGCCAGTTTTACCAGCACTGTTTTCATGCCATTCTAATCATAGAATAAGTTATTCATCTCTACGAGGTCTTGATTTAATATCAAATTGAAGCTTTTGAGATAAAAGGAAAACATCTGAATGTATCAACAGATTTAAAACTAAAGATGTCCGAAGTTATAACTTCAGTGGTAATAATATAGTATTTTATACTTTTCAAAACAAACAAACAAACCAAACATCCTGCCTTCCGTCCCACGCAAGTCATGGAAAAATCTTATTTTTTATAGCTTTCAAAGCCTTGGACAGATTTAAGCAGTGTGGAAACACATTTTCTTAAAGTATGAACTCCTTAGTTTTAATAAAAATATTCCATTTCTCTGCTCCTTAGCTGTAATCTTTCTAGCTTCCACATGCTGCATATGTAAAGATAATAAAGGTAATATTTGATTTCTTTACCACTCACCAGTTCTTTCCCCAGAGGTCTCCTTTTCTTGCAAATTTGGTTTTCCTGAAAGTGAACATATTTAACATAATCAGATATATTGGCACTACTCTGAAAGCATAGCAGACCCAGGACTGTTACAGGTAGTATCGCAGACCCACAGTCTCCAATCTGTGCTATGCAACCAGATTCCTATAGAAGCCTAGGCAACTTTAATACGGATTCTGCAGCTGTGTGGAGCCTAATGAAGGATTGGGGTCATAGTATACTTTTTTCTAAAACTGATATTGAGCTGTGTTCCACTAAAGGCAAAGTTTATAGTACAGTGCATGAAAGTGGAGGCTGTAGTGAGATGGTAGAGACAACTACATAGACTCTATGTCCACTGGAGAATTTACCACACCTGGAGACGCCTCAGTAAGGAAGTGGGGTTTAGAATTGAAGTTTTAGAATTATGGGGCAACTACAGTGCTCACACTAGAGAATATGTTCCACCAGAGAAGGCATAGTCCCTTAACGCTCCTAACTATCAGTTCCTTTATCAAGTAAAAAGGATTAAAAGATGTACTTAAATGGAGTTCAAAACAGTTATATTAGGTTTGAATTGGGAATGTATCAAGGAATAAATAACATGAACAGTAGACAGGAAGTAGTTAGTTTCAGATAATAAGACCTATAAAAACAGAACTTATCCATTATTTAGTTAATGGATCTCCAGTCTTGGCAGAATAAGTGTCTGCACTCCATCTCCTTTTTCTTAAAGAAAAGGAACATAAAGGGCTGTTCAGCCTCTTAACTTGCAACACCCATTGAACTGGCTGAGATCATTTATATCAAGAAATTTCTCTGAAAAATTTAAAGAGCAGTCAGGCAACTGGATAGTTTAAAAGAAGGTTTCCCTACCTCAGTAAAGATCACATTGAATGCATTGGCTTTGGATTTCAAAGCAAAGCAATTATTCACTTAGAACTGAAACACCAAGCTCTAGAGGAGAATTAACTATTTTCCATATATTCTTAAACACAGCAGATGACAAGCCAAAGAATTCTAAAATATGAAACCTATCCCCTAGAATGAAGGTGTGGAAGATAGGAGCTGCTGACAAGTGAAATGTAGAATTTTCCAGTGCAAATCCTATAGCTTTCCTCTAATGTTTTCATGAAATCCCAGTGACAGTAATCATGAGACATCACATATTGGGACTGCCTTCCCATGGCTGGAACTTAGTTTACTACTGATGAAAGAATTACAGACAGTTTTAAGTAGAACTCTGAACAAGTCTTCCAAGTTCCCATGCAATATGTACCCATCCCCCACTCAGCTTCCCCTTCTTTTACATCAAAATCCTAATGTACTCAGTCAAAGTTCATGGCTTCTGTGGGAGTTTTGCTTCAGTAAAAGCTGAGTAGAGACAAGACTTGGCCAGTAGACTCTACCTTCTAATTTTGATAAAAATGTCAAATCTTCTCTTTCTTGAGATGAACTCTTTTTTGCTTACATTGTATATTTATAACAACAAAAAATACTAAAAGGTCTCATAATATTTAATGTACTAATTACCAGCTCTGTCCCCCTTAGTCTCACTCTTCTGTGAACGTCTTCCTAAAACAAAAATATATTTATGATTGTTAGCTACAGTTTACATGTTTTTATTAAATCGTATATTGGATATATTCTAATTCTATATATTTCTAATGATATTTGTATACATGTCATAAATCAAGCAAAATGGAATCTTAGAGGGCTACATTATGGCAGTAATTTAAAGAAACTGAAAAGCTGGATGGTGACGACTGTAAAAGTGCAGGCTGAAATTCACAAAGAGAGATTGATACATTTATAAAATTAGTTGTAAAGCACATTTTGTCCTATACTGTACATTGCAGAAAGAAAACAAAGAGTGGTCACAGAGGAGGTTTCTATTATTTCTAGGGAGGGACACTTTTCTGTTGCCCACAAATACTCTGGAACCCATACTCCCCAACATGTTATTCCAGTGCAGAGGAATTTGTTCCCTCTTTCCTCCCCACCACAGAAGAGGTCAGGGGTCCCGTGATAAATTCATCATTACTTAGAGTCTTTAAATCTATATTGCATATCTTTCTTAAAAGTCCTCTGATTCAACCTCAGTTCATGAGCTTGATAGTGTTCACTGATATAGTAGGAAAAAATAATTTCCTCCATTATAGGAATTACTAGGTGAAATGTATTATGCAAGAAATCAGATGAGATGATCATAGTAGTCTTAAAAATCTGTGCATCTACAATCCAACGGATCTTGGAGATCTGATAGATACAAAGGCCACCCACATGAAAGATACTTTCCTCTCTATTGCCACATGGCACCCCTGGCTCCTTGCAGTATCTAACAAAAGAAACAATGCAGCCACATGTGCTCCCACAACTGCCGATGTCCAGAAATGCCCGAAGGTGTAGATGTAATAGATCAGTAAATTAATGTGAATTAAACTTGCAGTAATTTGCACTGCTCTACTCCACGGTTTTTGAAGAGGAGAGAATGAGATATAGAATGAATGTCCACCCCAGCCCCTTGCCTCTCACTTCACAAATCTGGATCCCTGTGAAATTCCTGCAGAGAGGCTTTCACAAGATTTAGAAAGAAGAAACATTCCACTGTTCTGGTATTCCCTCCTTCCATGACTCCCCCCTATCAGAGAGCTCCCCTCTGGTGATGGAAGTGACAGGGAACATGGGGCCCCCACAATCATAGCTTCCCGACATATATATATATATATATATCATATCTTACCCTGGTTAAAGTGAACATTGCGCCTCTGATTGATATTCAAATGAGATTTAATCAGCTGACAGATAATTGGCACACGGTTGTGTATGGAAGCATGATGGAGAAGAGCATAACCATATTCATCTACAACACTGAGACTGGAAGTAGATGTTTTACGACAAAAAGTATAGAAGATAGCAGATAGTCCTCTCTCAGCAGCAGACTTCATACCATAAGGTAAACTCTAAATCCATGTAAATAGAATAATAGACAGTATGTCAAAGAGAAATAAAACGTTTACTGGAAAAGAAGACACTGGGAAGAGGCAACCTCCAATTCTTAAATTGTGGGTCTATACTGAGGGCAAGATCTTTAGCAGATGTAAATCCACTTAACTCCCTGGACCTCAACAAATATGTGTCTGGACCCTGAAAATGACTATTTAAAAATGGCAGCATACTATTCAACAGATCTGCCCCCTGTGTATTCAGAATCACATCTATTTACTTGAGACTAAACAACAACATTTTATTACATTTTACTCCTGTTTACACTGCAGCATCAAAGATGTACAATAGGAGAGTGAGCCAATTTCTATTCTGTTGATAATGCATAAAGCAATCAATCGAGTTACAAGTGCATAGTCAAATTTTTGCCCTTTGTTATACTTGTTTAATTCTATTAAAGAGAATGGGGTTGCTCTTGTGTAAATGAGAACAGAATGTGAGACTAGTGGGTTTAGAGAGATGTTACTGAAGCCACAATTTTGCCTGCAAAATCATCACTGATGATGTGCATGAGCCTCAAAAAATACAGCTTCACTGTTAGATTTCAGGTGGAACCTGCAGCACTGGCAGTTATTAAAAAAATCATTGTTTTACTTGTAAAGTGTGCAAACTTATTCTGGAATCATCAAGAGACATTCAACATAAAGCCATTTTTAGAGTCAGTTTCCAGAGTATAAATGCTCTTTCAGAAAAACAATGATACAGTAAGTAGGATACCTTGCATTTAATAGCTTTCTTATAACCAAATCTTTTCTTGAATTGCTCCAGTGACTGGATATCAGTTAATGGAAGCCTTTTAGGCTTGAGAGTGCTTATTATTTCATTTATGGCTCCCCACCATGGGGTTTTATATAGCTGCTGATAAAAAGTTTCCAATTCAATGGAGATCACATAGTAGCTGTAACAAAAAACAAAACAAAGAAGTTTAAAAGGAAACATTTTGGCTCTTTTGTGTACTTTGTGCTTTCATATATAAAATTAAAATACACAGCCAGGTCCTCAGCTGGTAGAAGTTGTCAGAGTACCTTTAAAGTCATTGGAGCTACACAACTTTACACCAAATAGGGATCCGGCTCTGTGTCTTTACATACAAAAATATTTTCAATGTACTGTCATTGACAGAAGACTAATAAAACATATAAACAAAAAATCATTATACTACTATACATGTCTGAATAATCAAAAGTTTAAGAATTTTTCAGTAGTTGGTATAGCTGAGAATACTTATTTCAAATTTAATACATCTTATTTAAAACTACTGAATATTTACATAAAAACATTCTCTCCTACAGAACACTAACATTACAAAAGTTTAACAACAAACAACAATTTTAAAAACTAAACATTTGCCTCAGACTGTTTGTGCACTTTTACATTATTTTTTATAATACAGTTATGTGAATTCGTTCAACTGCTGGGATTTAAAACATGCTTCTTTTCATATTGTCTTGGAACAATATTTCTGAGACAGAATCCTAATTTTATATTATGTTTCTACAGAATTTAAGAATATTTCATAATTTCAAGAAAACTTAACCAAAGTTTACAAGCTAGGGATATGAGATTTAAAAAATTGTGTTTACACATAAATTTAATCAAGTAACTCAATTAGCTTTATTACTTTAATATATTAAACAGAACATTATTTAGACTACTAAAATTAAATTTTGATCAGATCACATTTTCTCAAACACTACTCAGACTTGGTGTTCTTGACAACTGTGATTTATTTCATTTATAGTCAGCAGGTTCAAGTAATCAATAATTGTTTTGAAAACAGCAGTAAACCACCAGACTATCACTTTGGCAATTTTTACATAGTTTAAATATACAGTATGAGGCATGTTCCTTACCTCTTTCCATCAAATTCCATGATTGGTATGGAGTAATGTTCTCTGTATGGTATATCCGGGTCTAACAACTGGGCTACATGGTTTGATGCACAAATCTGTATGTCATCAAAGACGGCCTAGAACAAAATAATTATTATATTAACCAACTGTAAATGTTTACATTTATAAAGTGGTTGTCTGATGGCTAAGAACTGACCAGAGCCATAGGGTCACTGAGAGCCCAACAACTCAAATTTTGTCTGTGTTATGCCAAACATACAAGCTGAAATCCATTCTGATCACTGTGCATCTACACACATAGGCTGCTTTCAGAGACTGTTGAAAGTTAAATCCACTCCCAATGTGAAGTCTCACTGAGGGAATAGTCTTGATATTGAATGTGGATGCAATGGCTGTGCCTAGCACACACTCTCTTTAGTACAGACAGGAAGTTTGATCCCTGGGAAATTAATGGATTTTGCTGGCCCCTTTAACTGCCATTTTTCCCCTCAGGGTGGCCATGATACAATACCATGCATTGTGTTGCACAGGGAGAAATCTGTCCCTTGCATTCTATGCATCCTTTAGGGCAATACTGCCTCTGTAACCAAGGATACCAATCATGACAGGTAGAAACAGCAACCATCATTCTGTGTATGTTCATTCTGTCCTGTTAGACTCCTGAACTCTAGTATTAGTCATGTCTGTGAAGAACATTCAGTTGAAAATGGCATGTGGACCTTGATGGTGCTCTGGAGCAATGGGCTGATTCAGAACAAACTGAATTCCATTATCCAAAATCAGTAGATGTTTGACCTCACAGCTGAAAGTCCAGTAGAGACTAACGGTGAAATACTGGTTCCATAGAAGACAATGACAAAAACACCCATTGACTTCAATGGAGCTAAGATGTCACACTAAGGTGATAACTGTGGCTATAGGACAGAAGCCCTGTCCTTTCTATAGGATATAATTTGGGGGATAATGCCTCTGACTCAGCCCGTTTGCAAATCAAGAGAGCTCCCAACTCTCGACAAGCTGTAAAGATGCAAATGGAAGTATGCTGAAGACTGAGAACTGGAGCCAGACCCACACTAAAGGAACTGATGAAAGAGAAATGTGTGAATATGTGTATATTTTGCGGGAGAGGAGGAGAAATACTATGTCATTCTCCCCCCACATATGCAAACCTAACTTCCTGAAAATTCTTGCATTGTGCACTCTGTATAGTCAGCTGAAGTCAGCATACATAACAGTTGTGCTACAAACTAGTAAACTGATAACACTGAAGATTTACTATAAGGAAATATTGCACTGTTACTTTAGCCTGGCTCTACTATATATTACTCTTACCAAGAAATCTGCAGGATAACACCTTTTTCATGAGCACATGATTTCCTTAGCTCTCACTGGTATTTTTAAAAAAAGTAGAATATTCTCTTATACTATATTAGCTGCAAGTACACACACACAAATCATAGAAAAGATACTGAACCAAAACCTTTATCTTTTCTGAAACATCCTCAAGAGAAGGTGTACCAACATCAAATTCAATTCCTCCATGGACATGAAAATACTCATTCTTTATGTAATGAAAATGTTGGCATTTAAAATCTGGCCCAAACACAAATGGAGGCAATTCTCGTTCAGTCTTAACTTTATCATCTACAAAAAGAGGACATTTTTTTAGAGCATGACAGAAGGTTAAAGTACTACAACATAATTAATTTCTTAATGTTGTCTAAAAATCTTAGGTGCTAAGCAATTACATATTAGTGTGGTTCATTGAGAAATGATTGTGTAATACTAGTTTAGAATAAATATTCCAGTCCAAATTCAACTGTGCTGTAGCTTCACAGACTTCAACAGAGTTACATCAGGGATGAATTTGGCTCCCTTTACACAATGAGCATCCAAGTTATCTACCACAGTCTGAATTAAGTTATTTGCAGTTGCTACTCTTAGAATGTACAAAATACTAGTTTCTCCGCACTTTCTTATATAATTACAATTTTATTAACATTTTCAGAATACATGGTCAAATGATTTTCAAAGTACTGTAATTTAATATAATATGAACAATATACAATTTGAAAATAAAAACAAGATTATTCCCTGTCTTTTGTAAGCTGCGTACCTGAATATGGTTGAAGAAGTTGATTTAAATTTGGAATTTTCATCTTTCTTTTTAAGCCAAGTAAAAATGGAATCAGAAAGCTCATTATTTTTAGATATTCAATATTCTTACGGATTTCTGCTTTTTTCTCTAAGTGCTTCTTCACAAGTTTTTCCTGAAGAATTAGCCTCTGCTGCACCCTTTGGTATGTTACTGTGTCAAGGTGATCCTCAGTCAATTTTATCACATTAGAAAGCCCATATGCTGCATCAAATTTACAAACATTTTCATGCTGCTGAACTTGTATAGTACCAAATGTCAACTTAAGTAGTATATTGTCTGCATACTGCATAAAGAGATTTTTTTCTTGTGCACTGTTAGGGTCATAAGTTGGATCTTCATTCATGTTTTCATCATAGATTCCCTCAAAATCTGGTTCATTGGAAAGATCAACTAGACCTGCATCACACACACAAAAATCTACATAAATAACCATATAGCTACTGGATGCAAGTAAAATATATTTAAAAAAACTAATGCCTGTCAAAAAAAATTTAATACAACTGTTTAATTCTGACAAGTATATTTTTATTTCTTACATTGCAGAATATTATGTACTTATCTTTATATTAACATATTAAACATCACCTTGCTGTTATATACAAAACTGTATCGAATCAGACTGCAGTTTAACTATATCGGGGGGAAGGGGGAGAATTAGGGAATTTCCCAGTAAGAGCTGCTCCTTTCCCTCAGTGTTCTAGTGGATACACTGGGCATCCTGATAGCACCCATCTTTCAGATTATCTTTTTCTTGAGTAAATTTAGTGCTCATGAAAATGCCAAATAGAGAGCCCTGGAAAAATGAATCCCTCTATTTAGCTACACAATAGTCAGAGCTGTAGCTGCAGCACACTCCTCCCCACTCCCTTGGCAGTGGCCTTGTTCTTGTTCTGATGGGACTACCAGTAGGGGTGAGAGAGTTCCTCTGTGCTGAAACTGCCAGTTATGACCTGCTCTGATTCCCATTTAAGTCACTGGAAAGTCTCCCATTGATTTTAATAGGACTTGGATCAGGTGATTACTGCCAACACTGGGCACGATTTTGTAATGAGTATTCTTGTCACTAGGAACTGGATTAAGGCACCAACTATTTCTCATAAGCCACCAAAGAGTAATGAAAGTAAATCAGTGGTTCTCAACCAGGGGTATGTGGACCCCTGGGGGTAGGAAGAGGTCTTCCAGGGGGTACATCAACTCATCTAGATATTTACCTAGTTTTACAACAGGCTACGTTAAAAGCACTAGCGAAGTCAGTACAAACTAAAATTTCATACAGACAATGACTTGTTTATACTGCTCTATATACTATACACTGAAATGTAAGTACAATATTTATATTCCAATTGATTTATTTTATAATTATTTGATAAAAATGAGAATGCAAGCAATTTTTCAGTAATAGTGCGCTGTGACACTTGTATTTTTATATCTGATTTTATAAGCAAGTAGTTTTTAAGGGAGGTGAAACTTGGGGGTACACAAGACAGATCAGACTCCTGAAAGGGGTACAGTAGTCTGGAAAGATTGAGAGCTGCATTAAATCAATATGAAACTGAGCTGGATTTTAACCAGTGACCCTGGTTCTATATTTCATTACCAGTCTCTACCATCAGCTGTTCTTGAGATATATTTGTGAGAGCCACAGGATTTCTCTCAGGTGCTTTTAGTCTTTTGTTTAGAAGATTTCTTTTTATTTTAGCCCAGTCTTATTTGTTATATATTAAAAGAGTAGCTAATTTTAAATCTTAATAATAAAGCCAAAGTTGTGATCTAAAAAACCCTTTGTAAAAAAATACATACAAACTTTTTTCCAAGTATTTAGAGCCATATTTTCAGAAGGGGTTCAGCACCCTGCAGCGCTAACTTTCCTGAAAGGAAACTACAGAGTGTTGACCACTTTTGAAAGTCTGGCCGCTTAATATAGGTGCCTCAACACCATTTTGAAAAAATGATTTTTGGAATATTTTTCTTTTAGTTTCCAACTTGATGACTTTTCATATTGTCCAGCAATCTCTTGTTCTTTCAGATAATGACCCCTAGCTCTTAGGAATATGCTAGGTACTTATCACTTGTAAGATTATTTTTCTTTAAATGGGTTATAATGGCTGAAAATACCAGCAGAAAATAACTGTTTTTTTACTCACCTGCTGAACAAAACTCTGAAAAAATATTTTTTTCTGTTTGTGGATTCCCATCCATATCAATATCCATACTGGAGCGCCACAATTCAGAGAACCTAACACGTTTCTCTTTGGGCATATACGCACCATGCCACAGTGCTTTTAACATGTAGTCAACACTGATCAAGATTTGTCCAATTCTGGTGTCAATGTAAGCTGGAGGAAGCTGACAAGATGTGCTGTGATCGTAATTGGAATCTAAGCTGATGGAAGGAATTTGGTTTAAACAGTAAATTCCTACAGCCAATTCTCTCACAATCTGATGAACTTCTTTACAGTCCAAAGGTACATCTGGCACCACTGGTGCTAGGAAAATTGCAGTCGGGAAACTTATGTTTTTTAGCTGACCCATAAGTCCACTGGGAAGTTCTAATGGCTGGCGTAGGTCATCTTTAGAAGCCAGCCAGCTACAAGAGGTAGTGGTAAGTAATTCCTGTAACTCACTTCGGTCAAATTTGTCAAAGAAGGCACTGGCATTTCTCTGTACTGCTAAATTTGCTAAGTAGGTTGTCTCATCTGCTTGTTCATTTCTAGGTAATGTTTTTTTGACAGACCTCAGCATTCTTCAATAGTTCCTTTCTGCGGTGTCTAAAATTAAATACTTATAGAAACATAAGACAAACAAGTATAATAGTTATTTAAGTAGGTATTAATATTTGTAAGAAAAATGACTTTCTTTAATAACAAGATTAAAATATACTACAGCATACATGAGGTGTTCCAAGCTTTTTCAAGGCAACACAATCTTTGAAAATTTTATTTTCCTTGAACCAAGAACTTCATTTTGCCTATGATATCCAAGGATTGAATTGGGCCAGCTTGCAATAACCAAGTGAACTTTTTAAAAATACGTATTTATGGAGCCAGGCATTTTGTGCTTTAGAATCTAAGATGTGGTTTAAAAAAAACACTATGACCCTCATGGCTGGAAAAAACAACCTTCAATTGTGAAAAAGTACAAATCAATGCAGTGATATTTACAGACAGACTAAAACAATTGCTCTGGGCAAATGTGACTGCCCCATCACTCTGAAATGGTTGTTGAAGCTGAAGTCTAGTAATGATAATTTAAATATCCACATTTTAAATTCCTTTCTTTCAGATTACGCTATAAGGCAGGGACTATGTCTTTGCTTGTAATGCACAGGACACCTGTGAATGAATTCTCAAATCTTCACATGGTGTTTTCTAATACAGAGCAAACACTAAATACCATTTACTACCCAAGGCATACATTATTATGTATCTCATAAACAGGACCACCAGATTCGCATGACATAAAAGAAATGTATCATTTCTCCTCTTCTTCCTATGCAGGGTCTTGAATACTGCAAGAAACCACTCATTCCCACATTGTCCCTTTGAACTCTCACTTTCTACATGCTAATCCTTCTTCCTGTAGGGGATTGCTCACTCAAGCTGTTTATGGAAACATAACTCCCTGCAGATTCAGGACATATGAACCCAGAATCACAGAGAGACAGTGACTTGAGCATCCAAAAAGAGAAATCCTACACCAGAAAACCTAGCAAGTGGTGAAATGTTAATTTTGGAAATGCAGAAGCTCTAGAACCACCTACTGAAAAAATAGAGATTATTTAGATCCCAACAGGTACAGCAGTGTAATTCTGGCAGGGCCTTGGAGTGACATGAAAATTAATACTAGCATTTTAAAACTTATCTTTAATAGTCCTTTAAAAATCCGGGAGGAGGTTCATGATTTTGAAAGAAAATCCCTCTTGGGGAAAAAAAAATCACATTTCAATTTATGACTTTGAATTTACTACTGTTACAAGTAACCTCTAAAAATAAATACTGTAACAGAAAGATTAAATAAAACATAAACCATAGGAATTGCCACACTGGATCAGACCGTTAACCGTGGCCAGTACCAGCTCCTTCAGAGGAAGGTGCATGAAACTCTGGAGCAGACATTATGGGATAATCTGCTCCCAAGTAAATTTCCTCCTAACCCTCAACAGTTAGAAATTGGCTAATGCCTGGAAGCTTGGAGATTTATACAGCTTCTAAAACTTGTTTATTGGTACTGTTCACTATTATAACTACAGCCATTGGTATCCACAGGAACACTGAACTGTTTTTGAAATCCTGTTAAACTCTTGGTCTCCATCATATTGTGGCAATGAGTTCCACAGGCCAGTTAGGCATTGGGTAAAAAAGCAACCAATTTGGAGGCATTTGAGGGCGGGGGCAGCACCGCCACAACCGCCTTCCCAGTCCGGGTGGCTTAATGAGGTTTCTGTTGGCAACCTCCTGCCTCCAGGGACACACACCGCACCGTCCCCAGCACAGAGCGGCGCCCTCGGGGGTCCCACACTGGGCTTCTCCCCCAGTTCTCCTCCTCCCGCGGGTCCCTGCCCTTCAGCCCTCCGGCTCACCAGCCTGGCGGCGAGGTGGGAGCAGCCGCCAAGTCCCTCCTGCCATAGGGGGCCAGGCTCCGCTCTGGCCGGTCGTGGCGGGGAGTCCCGCGGCCCAACCGGAAGAAACGCGCGGCGCCTGGCCTGGACCTTAGCAACGCGGGACGCCGCCGCTTCCCCTTGGCAACCCCCGCAGGGGGCGCTGTGCACGACGCGCTGGTGGTGCCCGCGGCCGAAGCGCAGCTCGCGTGTCCCCGCGAGGGAAAGCGCGCGAGAGTCGGGGCTGCGCGCCAGGCCCAGCCCAGGGCTCCATATTACAGCGGGTGCAGTGGCTAGTGCAGGCTTCTCCCATTTCGTGCAGTGGGGCGGGGACATCATAGCCACCCGGGAAGCTGCCAGTGCAACCTTCTAAATGAGGGCACCCTCTTCTGCCCGCTTCCGATTGACTCAGTACCCGGCGGACTGCCTCCGCCAGCCTCCGGGGGGACACGTTGGTCTGTGACTAACAGAAACGTTAGGAATAATTTATCCCTGATCACACATCACCCCAATTAATCTTTGATGAAAATTAAACAAGAGGCAGCAGGAATAACTGTGTCTCGGTGACTCGCTGAATGCAGGGATCCCGTTAACACTATAAAACCAGTAGCAGCACACTTAAACTCGAGTCAAAATAGGAAAATTGCACAACACTGAATTAGCGCTCCTAAAGCACAGCTCGCAAACGCACCCCTGGTAGCTAGGCTGGCCCAGCACGTTCTCATCTAGTGCTTTTTTGCTCCAGCTAGTCCAGCACTGTGGGCGTCCTCTCATGACTCAAATCTCTGGCCCCCTCATGTTTAATCCCACTGATTCTAAAGTAACAGAGTCCAACAATAATGGGCCTTGCCTTATTCTGATCTACCCTGAACTCTTCTCAGGGCTTTAAAATCTTACCCCCTACACTACAGGGGGGTGGGGTGTCTCACTCACACCCTTCCCCAGCAGCAGGTGGGGAACGAAAGCCCTCCCATTATATGGGGCTCCCGTCCAGGGACCCTATAACCAGCATTCTTCAGAGTCCCTGCTGCTGCCTCCCTGGACTTCTTCCTACTATAGCCTGTCAGCAGGCCTCTCCACAGCCTCCAACTTCAGCCTTTTTTCAGGGCTGGGATTCCTGGGACTCTTAATCCCCCAATAAAATCCTAAACCAACTTCTTCCATCTCAACCTTTCACACCTCTAAATTTCCCTTGCTCTAGTCCTCCACTGAATATCTCCCTGGACTCTTTCCCTTGAAGTCCAAATCCTGCCCATTTATTAGATCTCTCCCACCTCTTCCCAGACTTCCCAATCCCAATCCCAAAATCAAATCTGCCCCTAGGTATTTTCCTTAAACCTCCCACTTTCCACTCCCCAGAGAAGAAATATACAGTTCCTTCCCTACAGTCCTTCTAATACTGTGCTTCCTTTCTTTATAATCATCCTTCCCCAGCTGGGCTGCATCTTTAATTAGGCCTGGTCCACCCTTTGATGCAGCCAGATGTTAATTGGCATCTTTCAGAGCCAGGATGGGGTATACACTCTGTCACAGAGCCTTAATTTATGTACAGTTTGGGGGACAGGGAGACACATTTAACACATGGTTAAAAATTGTTTGTCACATCTCTCTTTCCCTTTTGAATTTCAGGTATTCCCTTTCCACAAGTATTTATTGTCACTTTCTCATTTCTGCTTGACAGTCTATCCTAATCAGGATGGCTGTCATTGTAAAAAAATAAAATAAAAGTTATAATGGAAGAAACAGTGAGGATCTGTATTATGTACATTGTTAATATTACTTTCTTGCCATCACATCACTGCTAAACAATAGTGATATAGACATTCATTTTATGAGTATCTTCCAGATCTCTACATATTATAAACCAGATAAGAATTATATTACTTGTTGTATTAAATCTTGAGTTTTCCCTAATCCTAACAATCACTGTTGTGACATGGACTTTTTAGTATCTTAAACTAAGAATTTCTTATAAGAGAGAATTTCATTTTTAAAATATGTAATACCAACACAATTAAATTGTTAAATGTAGAGTACATTTCAAATGTACAATGCAATATTGGTAAAAGGATAGAATGTATGTGATGTACAGTAGGTTTTCCTTCTTCAACTGTAAGTAAATGCACACAATAACCCCTAAAGAGATGACATTTTTTGTTGAGTTAATGTTATATACTAGCTTCATAATGTGGGCAGGTGGGGTGGATTCAAAAGTATTTCCCTCAAGCCCTGTGAAAATTAGTTAAAAAAAAAATACAGCCTGAATCTTGTTTTTCTGTGGAACCCCTGCCTCTCCTTCCCCCCAGGGCAGTCATGCTCTGGCAGACCAGATTGAATAATACAGTAGTTCTTCATTAGGCCAAATGCAAGGTGTAATTACAGTTAAACTGATTAAAACCAGTAGATAAAACACAATTCTAAAATCTTGAGGATTTTATTGAATATCCACACATAATAAAATACAAAATTTTAAACCATAAATTTCTCATAAGATGTGCTGTGAACAAACCTTCAATTGCAGCCTCATAAATTAGTCTACTGAAACTGGCTGAAGTCTGCTGCATTTATCAGATGCCTTTTCACTGCTGTTTTCCATTTTTGCAATCCGTGTTCCAAACTGCATGGCCCTCTTTGGAAGAATAGTAGAGGCCTTGAGGCCAAGCTCCTTAGCTGCCAGGCGCAAAAGTAATTTCTCACCAATTCCTCGAGGTAGAGTCAAGTCTGCTTTTTCCGAAACAGGCAGAGAGTTAAGAAACGAAACAACATCTTCATCAAGGAAAGGAAATCTAAACAGAAAATATTATGAAAAATTGTTACCTTGACAAGGTTTAAACTCAAACAAATGTGTAGTGTACGAGAGAACTGCTTTTAGAATACTCAATTCACACTATAGTGATCTGTAGAAAATTTGGACTTTCAAGCCAATATCCATTCTTAGAAGACGATGCAACATAAATCTTGATGCTAATGTGTTGTGAGAAAAACAGAAGTGTTGTGGAGTCTTGGGGAAATAAAAGACTGGAACAAATACACATCCATAAGAAACTTCATTTAAAACTTATCTGATTTGAAGTTTTAAAAGTCTTGCCCAAGAAAAATAATTTGTATTTAAATAGGAGCAAATGACAGAAATTCTGTTTTTATG